ATTACCACCTCCTCAATTGACAACCAGGCCAATCACTGAGCTAGGAATGTACTGGATCTGATAAGGGAGGAAGAACGCTATGCACTGAAAGTGCTATAAGAATTAGTATGTACCAACAGAGTAGTATTCCTGTTCCTGAGATTGGGTTTTGACAGTGTTTGATGGAGGAGAACTGAATGGAATACTGCATAAGGAAAATTCGTTGGCTTTCTTGAGACATGGAATTTAACATCCGGGCAAGGACCCATGGAGATTGGGCAAATTTGCAGCTAGGCATGAAGAAAGCAACAGACAAGGCTGAGTGAAGCAGAAATGTTCTATTTTCCCTGGCAGACAGTAGTGGAAGAAATATAGAGCCTGAGGGAAATGGGCATGCTGGATTGGATATTTTGTGTGAAGCCAGAAGATTCCCTGGGGGATATGTTCCATGGAAAGGCCCAGAGGACACTCCATTTATCAAAGGCACTAGAAATGAGCTTGAGAAAGGGGCTCTAGCATAACTAAGTTCAATGGTGGCTCTGCTCTGTGAGTGAAAGGATGATAGGAGAAGCAGCTACAAAGGTAGATTCTTAGAGTGAAGCAGCACAGGGAGGAAACAGTCTTCTTAAATTTTAATGCACCGGCTGGGAGCTCTGCAGGAGTGAGAGTGAGGGAGAGAATACCTGAAAGTAGCTGATTAGTTGCCACTTTTTCTAGAAACTCCTCACCTTAGTAGACAGCTGCCTTCATACTTCCAAAATCGGTGGTTGCATTTCTATAACTAGTTTCTGGTATGAAATTAGGGAGACATTGTCTCAAGGCAACGTAGAGCAAGGCAGCGTGATGGGGGACACGAGAGTAAACCTTAAAAAGTGTTCTCTCATTCCACTCCAGGCTTCAGCCACCTGCCCTCCTTGCATATGCCAGTTCAGGATAGCCTCAGCCTTCTAGTCTCTTACTTTAATTATAATTTCCTGGCCTGGAGTCCATTATTTACCTCTTTCTTCTACAGTTTATCTTCTATAGTTGATTTGGAGGACTATCCTATGCTAGTTCACCATTTTGCAGAAATAAAAGCCCAGATACACACACACACACGTGCATATATACACATACATATTCGTATATTTACACGTGTGCATATAAAATGATGCCATTTTTGAAAAATAAAGTAGGTACACCTTTTACGAGTGAATTGATTGTTTATGTTTATATAAACAGAAAAATGTGAAGATATACAAAACTTTAAACTTTAATTACCTTAGGAGAAAATTGGGGAAAGGTTGCCAGATTTTTCTTTATGTTACTCTACTATGTGTTACTATGTTGGAAAACAGCTTGTATAACATTATAGCTTAAAATGAGATTACAATAAAATATATTTTTAAAATAGCATGAGCCAGGAGATGGCAGCATAGTAATACATTTGGTCTAAGTTTCTTAGTGCTTGTCTCACAGTGTTTTTCTTTCTTTCTTTTTTTTTAAATGCAGTTGACATACAATATTATATTAGTTTCAGGTATGAAAGATAGTTATTCACTTTTATATACCTTTTGAAGTGATCTTCTAATCTAGTAAATGTCCCTGTACAAAGTTATTATGATATTATTGACTATATTCTCTATGCTGTGCATTACATCTCCGTGGCTTATTTTATTTTATAACTGAAAGTTTGTGTCTCTTACTCCCATTCACCTTTTTTTTGCTCTTCCCCTCACCCCATTCCCCTCTGGAAACCCAAATGACATTAACAGACAGCACAATACAATTTGTTTTATTTGGATTGGCTTCTTACTTAAAACATCTCTTGATATTTTATCTTTGTGACTAAGTCACTTGCTTAGATCCTTCTCCATTACATGCTACTCATTTCTTTGGTTGCCATTAATATTATCTTTTTGTGTTATAAAAAAATTTCCTGTTGATTTAAAAAGCAACAAAAAACTCATTTTGATTCTTTAATATACCACTAATTGGGGGAAGTTTCGAGATCTTAGAAGGTTAAAAAAACTATTTCTGACCACTTCGATCTATCTGTGGATCTCTGGTGGGACTGCTGTACAGAGATTCACCTCTCCAGTGGTGGACCAGTGCCACAAGAGGAAGGAGAGCCTAAAAGTGGTTGTTCTACGTCTGTTTAGCCACACTCCCCAAGGCTCTGCTACTCTCAACAGCAGTTATCAAAAACACTTTTACCTTTTTTATGTGGTCTTAAAAACAGAACTTACTTTTTATATACACTTGTATACCCAGTGTCTAGAATACCCAATGTCTGACATATAGAGGCTCAGGAAATGTTTGTTAAATGAATAAGTGAGTATGTAAGTAGTTGCATAAAAAGCTCGCGGTTGGTAGTATCCGATAAGACTTTCTGTGATGATGGAAATAATGGATATCTGTGCTGCCCAGCATGGTAGCCACTAGCTACAGGTGGCTACTTTGTGTATAAAATGTGATTAGTATGACTGAGGAAATGCATTTTTAATTGTATTTAATTTAATTTAGATCTAAATAGCCCCATCCAGTTAGTGGTTACCATATTGGACAATGCAGTTTTCAGTGCATGGCGTATTTTTTTTTTGCAATTTTCTATTCTCTGTTCTGCATTGTTAATGAATGACGTACTGGGCCATTTTGACTCAGCTAAATACATAACTCTTTCAAGTAGTATCCATTTTTGCATTCTGAGGATACTAAATAGAGTACACATGGTGCAGTTTTGCAGGATTTAGGTATCTGAGAAATCTCTCAGGAATACATCTATATGAATCTTTGTATATAGATATATATGTATGTATGTATGTATGTATCTAACTATCTATCAGGATGAATTATTTGCCTGTAGCACCTCAGCCTTCAAACAGCCTCTTTCCTCCAATCAGGTTCAGTTTCCAAATGATCTTAATTTGGCTAGAATTGCTTAGATATTAGTGTGATTGTGATGGACTTTCAGCATTCTTAATGCATCAGCATTATAAAAAGAAGTAAAAGAAAGATATTCCCCAACCCATGTAAGGAAATTTGGGGTGCAAGATTTTTAACAGTGACTTTTTCCTTTGACTATTGATCCCATGGCAATGGTTCTCAACTGAGGGCGATTTTGCTCCTCAGGGCCATGTTGCAATGTCTGGATTTATTTTTGTTTGTTACAACTTGGTGGGCTTACTACTGACATCTAGTGTTGAGGGAAGGAATGCTGCTAAACATTCTAGAAAGCAGAGGATAACTGTTGTTCCTCCATGCCCCACCCCCGATTCCCCATAAAATTATCTCTGACAAAATGTCAATAGTATCGAGGTCGAAAAATCCTGCAGAACAGTGATGATTTAAAGAGAATGAGTTTGACTTGTAATTATAAATATATTTTAATGTATACAATATAATATTATGTGCAGCAAAAGAGGCTTTTGGTATAAAACTCAAAAAAATCAACATGGCAGTTATTTCATTAACTAAATGAATCATAAAAGGAGAGGGAGAAACAAATAAAGATTTAGATGCATAGAAAATGTTTGACTGTTGTCGAACACTAGCTATGTCATGTAGTCATGTACAGTGCCACAAAAATGTGTTTAAATATATATGAAAATGACAGTTTTTCATAATAATTAAAATATTCCAAAGTTGTTTTCTTTTCTTTTTTTCTTTCTTTCCTTTTTTTTTTTTTTTTAGGCGAGGCAACCCTTGGTTGACCTCACAGATTTCAAGGACCTTGTCAGTTTTTAATCCCTTAATTTTTAATTTTTTATGCTTACAGCCGCTGGTCTTCCTAAGCGGTTGCTCATCCAAGTACTAACTGGTCCCAACCCTGCTTAGCTTCCAAGATCAGACGGGATTGAACTTGTTCAGGGTAGCATGGCCATAGACAAAGTTGTTTTCTTGAGTATTTGCATATTCTCTATAAACACTTTTCTTCAAAGAATGTCTACCTTTTTAAACAGTAAAGCCTTCCCCAAAATCTTGTATCAAATTGTCTACAAATGTCTAATTTTATTTTGGCTTTCCATGTAAGTGATTTATGAATAACTGATTTATGTTGGCTTATCATTCTATCGGTCCTTTAATTTCTCTGAAGTTGTTTGAAAATAAAACTGCTTAGAAAATAAGTTGTATTAGGAAATAACTAAACAGAGTGAAAAGTAAATTTACGCCAAGATTAGACTTCTCCCATTTTTAGAGATAGAAAGTAGCTCCTTCTCACTCAGTCTTTGTCTGTTCTCATTCTCATCTAACAAAAAGACCAGGAAACTTTGATTTTATTTTCTGAATGCCAAAAGGCACTTTTACATAGTTTAGGACAAAATTCCATGCTAAGGAATTCCAGTTCTCCTGCCGTTCAGTCCAAAGATTTAGTCATTGTCCAAAGTAAATATTAGTGTAGTTGTTTAAAACTGCACTTTTAGGTATAAGTGTAAATGACAGTTTTTTTCAAGTTTCATAGAGAGGTTAAATGTTCATCTGGGAGCAAAGGGGATAGGATTCACTGTAGTGCCAGCTCTTAAGTCCCGGTTTCATGTCTAGTGCCCCTTCATCATTTGTATTAGCATTGGCCCAAACTGAGAACCTTGATTTGTCTACTACATGGACCTACAGATTCTTAAAAAGGATTATTTGATGAGGAAGATAAAAACTGTGGAATCATGGAAGAGCAGTGTTGTCTGTCAGGGGTAAAAATAGCGAATGCTTTGCCAGTAGGTACCTATCTGCTTAAACTACTGGATTATCCTAAAATGGCAAGTATGTAGTAGGGACAGAAAGGTGATCAGGAGGTCATCAGAGATACTTAGCAGCAATGGCAGATGTTTGTGGAGTGGACAATATTTTGTATGTTCAGGGTCAGCAAATCACTTTAGATAATGTGAAAGAAAGCCTACTCTCCTCACATTTAAGGGGAGAGTTGTCAGATCACGCTTATTTGCATCTTGAACTCAATGACAATATACATAGTAAAACATACCAGACACAATTTGCTAGAGACCATACATGACATTTACATTTTGGAGGTAGAGATGATTGTTGCATTACATGTTAGTTTTGGATTTAATCCAATCTCGATAAAGAGTCACTTTTGTATAAATCCCAGGCTTGTTTTCTTTTCCACAGTCCATTCCCCAGCTTACTATTCCAATAACATACCAGATGTTTCCATCACGTGCTATAACCAGAGGTCCCCCAGAATCACCCTGGAGAAGAAGAAAAAATATTGTCAAAGTAATAAATAAAAGGATATCAGAATAAGAGTTAATCAGCACCTGAATGTCTAATAAATTCATATTTGAATTGCAGTATGTAAAACTAATTTTATTTTTGCTATTAGTATTAATATGATAATTATATTTATTACTTATTATCTCTGTTATTATCTTATTTTCTCTGCTTATCTCTATTAATATCTTCACCTAAAAGATAGTGTGAATAAAGCTAAGGTTTCAATTTTATCCTTGTACAGTTTTTAGTTTTGCTCTATATAAACAGAGAGTGCAAACTGAACCTAAGTTAGGCATACAATTCTTGTATAAATGATGACTTGAGGCTCAACTAAATGCCACCTCCTTCACGAAGCCTCTCCTAACTCCATTAGGTAGAAAATAATCTCTTGCTTTGAGTTTGGCTCTCACCTTGTTCCACTCATACCAGTTGATAGGAAGATAATGCTGTATCATTATGCAGCAGTTGGTTTGAGAGGAGGAAGGTATTGAAAGGGCACTCCAAGCCAATGTGCATCATTTATCACTCAAAGGATCTTGCTCCAAACCAAGGTGGAATCCGTAGCCCTGGTGAGCTGGTTGGAAATGTATGAATCAGGAGGACTTCTCTGATATCTTTAACCAAAGGTTTGGACAACTGATCTACAATTTTATCTTTTAGCAATGAACCTATTCATTCAAAAGAAGTATTATGTGGGAGCCCCTTACAGACTTTTTTTTTTTAAATAAGAGAGATAATCCTGTTTGAAGCAAGTGTGGTGTCTAGTCTTGTGTCTTTAGCTCTCTTCCTTTCACATGCTTCTTAGTACACCTCAGTGCTCAGTAGACAGAGTGTGAAAACCCTGGTTTATCAAAAGCTATTCTCTTCAGCTCTAATCAGAATCCTAACTTGCAGCTGGTGATAATTCTTACATATGGATCTGGACAGTAATAGGGTGTTAAATAAAGAGTATTTATTATGATTCTTCCATTTCCTCTTTTTATACTCTCCTCTCTCCTTCACAACTTAATTTTATAAAGTACCATGAAATGACATTGGTCTATGGTTAGTAAGTTCATCTTTATTCAACGAATCCATTTTTGTAGATTTGAATCCATCCTTACCTCACAGGCATCACGTTTTCCTGATAAGAATCCAGCACAAATCATTCCTGATGACACAGCACCACCATATACATTAACTTGATTACATATATCATTACTTATGATCTCTATTTCAACTTGTCGCAGAGTATTGGGAAAGGGACCTAAAGAAGAAATAAATAGATGAAGAATTTACACATTTCTGCTTATGATAGTTAATTGCATCTTGCAAAGGATAGATCAATGATAAAACATATGTCTGGAAGTTGTAAGACTCTGATCATATTCAAGTTATATTTCTTGGATGACTTCTGTGTAACAGGTTCGAAGACAATTGAGAGGATGAAGGAGGGCAGTGTTTTTAATTTGATCAACAAGTCAGGGTAATTCTGTGCTAAGGACTCTGGTTTTGGAGGCAGCAGATATGAATTTGTACATTTTGTACAATTTATATGCTATTTGGCCTTGGACAAGTTACTTAATCCTACTAAGCATCACTTTACTCATCTGTAAAAAGGAGAAAATAATACCTCTCATATATTTATTGTGAAGGTTAAAAAGTAATGAACAATCAGTTATGACAGTACCTTGCCCCATTAAAGATTTCAGTCAGTGGAAGCTATTGGAGAAATAGGGTTATATATAAAACCATCATGGTCTAAAAGCTGCACTTCAGTGTTAATGATAGATGGCGATTGCGAGAACTTTTTGAAAAGAAAATTTATGTTTCTAGGGATTTTGTTATTCATCAGAAATAAATCTAATTCTCTGTTTATAACTAGTAAATTAACTTACCTAGGATTTACCATCTTGCTGAAAAACTAAGCCTGACTCCTCTATAGTCACTGAAAATTCTCTAGTGAGTTTCTTCACCTCAGTTATCATTTGTAAGCATGGGAGGGGCATTGTATGACAATTCTCTCTTCACTTCATTTTTAAATCTGGTTGAAATGCTTCCAGTGAGAGAATTTCTTCACCATCTGCTCTTTATACATATTTTTAAACAATCTCAACTATTTATTTGTGTAGGTGCCCAGCAATATTCAATACTATCTCTTTTGTAGTCTTTAATTGGCAGTTAAAATGTATAGGTATTCCCAGGCTTTACTCAGCTGTATTTCAACTACTTTTAATTTCTGTGTGTCTATTTTTTTAATTTAGCTCATTGGTCTACGATACTTAGTTTTAAATTTCAATTGATTTTAGTTCTTTAATTTCAGCTTTTAAAAAGTCAATTTAAGTGCTTAACAATATAATAAGCTATTTTACTATTCCAAACTATTCAAGATAGAAACTATCCAGAATAGAATGCTTTTGTTTTACAAGCTGTCTGGTAATAAGATTTCTAATTAGATATAATGGGATAGATCTTGGGAGGTAGGAGAAGAAAACCCAATAGTCCTTATTTCAGTTTCAAAATGCAGAAAAAAACCATAGTCAAATACCTATTACTTAATCTTGGACTGATGTCTAACAAATTCATGATGTTATTCATGAACTTCTTGCAACTTCTTAGAGTAGACAGACCAATACTCAGTAATCTAAACACTATTGGACATTAAATAATTCATGAAAATGTCCCAAATCACTCCCAAACTACTACTCTGAGAGAGAGTGATATTAAGTTTAATTAGATTCTAGAGGAAGTACAATGATTCTGCCCTAGTGGTTGATGTTATCTGTTTCTATCCAACCCATAAGTGGTTTTTCTAATCCCAAAGGGTTTAATTCCTCTTCATACTCATTACCATTGCCTATAAAACAAAGCAGATCCCTCAGAGATAAGGAAAAGAACTCTTGGACTGTAACAAAAGCATATAAACCTGGACCCAATGTCAGAATTTTGGAATGCATATTGAAGGAAAGTAGACTTCTATATAAATCAATTGATGAAGACTCAGTAGATAAAAGCTATACTTTGAACAAGTACATAAATAAGACTATAACTTCATAGTAAGAGCCTGGAACAAGAATCCAAAGGGCAGATTAAACCATATGTAAAAAAGTAGCACCAAGAGACATAGGAGACTCATATTAGGATCTAAAGGTCTATCTGTAGTTATTGTGTATTATTAAGTGTAGTAAAATGTCATATTTATCAACTTTATAAAAATCACCAGCTCAAAAACTATTCCATAGATACATGGATCAGAAGGCCTCTGTTTAATATTTAGTGTCAGAAATGACATTCAAATTGCTTGCTTAAGGCTATTTCTGTTTAGTTGCATGAGACATTGCAGAAGATTATCTTTGCTATTGCTTCCAAGTCACATACTTTAAGAATCATGCAACCATAGCAGAATCTCTATAGTTTCTGAAATAACTTATAAAGAAAATAATAAACTTGATATGGTATAATATATAATAATAATGTATAATAGTAATAGCCAAAGTTTTCATAATTCACCATATCTGGGTTTTTGTTTGTTGTTTTTGCCATATTTTTCATAGGATATATTGATTTTATATCTTAACCTCTTATTTTCTATATTTTGATTTAGTATCTTATTTTATATGTCCACTCAAATGAAGGGTTTCATTTTTTTGCTTGAATTTTTTTACTGAGATACTCACCATTTGTTTTTAAAGCTCCCCATCCAGTGGCAAACACTTTACTCTTAGGTAAGACTTCAAAATTAGCATCTGGGAGACAGACTCTGTGTACTTCATCAGAAAATAGGACAGAAGTGGAGAGCTTCACCACAGCGATGTCGTCATCATGCTTATGGGCAGCATAGTTTTCATGAACGATAATTGACTGCACCTTTCTTCTCATTAGTGGAGGGCTTAGAGTTGTTCCAAAACTAGCCGTCCAGAGTTTGGGGTTTTTGTAACTGATCACAGATTAAAAGGATTATGGTTGGTTCATTTATGATCTAAAGTTGTCCAGGACTCTGGATGAGCATTGGACATAAGGGTTAGAGAAGGGCAAATTGTTTAAGATGATAGTTGATTGGGATCTTCCCACATTCTTGTTTGAAGTTCTCCTCTAGGGCTGCTTTACTTTAATTTAGCTGGTGACAATCCCCCTCCTCCGCCCCCGCCATTCTAATGTAGCTTAAATTACTCTCCTCCAGAGGGAGTTGATATTTTTTTTTTAAAGAAAGCAATACATTATAAAAGTAATACATATTAGTTGAAGAAAATATAAATAAAAATTAGACATGTACCCACATATATACACACATACACACTTACATCCCTGAATAGTTATATAAATGTAAGTATGCATAGTTATGTAGAGAGAAGGGGAGGAAGGCAGAGGGAGAGGTAAGGGAGGGAGAGAGGATGGGAGAGACAGAGACAGAGAAAGAGAGAGAGAGAAGAAGGGAGATGGTAAAATTAGAGCTATGCTTTATATATTGTTTTCTCATCCTTTTAGGTTAAAATTTTATCTAGAATATTTTCCCATTTTATATTCCACTAGAGTTACTGTGTCACTTTATAGTCTCCAAATGTCCCGTATGTTAAATCTTCAAAAAGCATATAAAAAATAAAAGCACAGCACCGAAGATATTCATGTGGGATAATCAGATGTAAGTTTGTGAGTTGGGATTCTATTGGCAAAGTTTTAAAAAATTCACAATGTATCTCAGGAAAACTGGTGCATTTGTTTAAAATTTGACGGTGTTGGCTTGTTCTTAAAGTTGAGATTGTTGGAGAATATATATTCAATTGGAACTGGAGATTCTCTATCTAATATTTTCTACTATTTCTCAGTAATTGTTTCTTTTTTCTAAGCCTGACAGACAATCACGAGTACCACTGGGGGGCCTAAGATGATTAACGACAAAGGGATGAGAATTATGGGAAGTGAATGTGAGAAAAACAGGTGAAATTTCTGAGCTTATTGATACAGACCGAGGACTTACGTGTCAAAGCAGTGAGCAGCAGTCAGGAGCCACTCCTCACTTATCAGAGATGCCCCACAGAAATGGATGCCATCCATTTGCAGGCTGGCTTGCCATGGCCAATCAGCTTTCCTTGCAACATATCCATCAGCAATTCTTTCCATGGTTGGAGACTCCCTTCCTAAACCACAACCTGTCGCAAGAGAATAGATGGTTATTTCCAGTTATAAATGTGTGTAGGTATGTCTGGCACATAGTTAAAGATAAAAACATTTTTAGGTTTGCCTTGCCTTAAAAAATAATCAAAATCATATGATAGAATGATTATTCACATTGAAAACAGATTCAATTTAAAAAATAAAATCTTTAAAACCCCCCTGATGTATTTAAAGCGATTTCATTTAATTTTTTTAAATGTTTTTCTGAGTCATGTTCTTATATGCAGCAGTTTTGTCTCAGTAATGTTTGACAATTTTGAGTGTGAAATGTATGGAAAAATACCATTTGTACTATTGCAGAAAAATACCATTTGTACTATTTTAAAACACTTTTCTAATATTACAACTATCACATTACTATAGTATAAATGTCACATTCACATATTAAAGTTGGTAGGTGCTATTTAATTCTAAGCAGAATTTTCTACTTTAACAAAGCGAGCCAAATAAAATGAATAAGATAAATTGAAAGGGAAATGTGAAAAGAAGTCATCAGTGAAACTTTCTGTAAGGAAGAGCAAGTTATTTCCAAGGAGTCCATATAATATTTCCAACTATTAGTAGTAATTTATTTTTTCCTTGAGGAGAATTAAATCATGTATCCATTTGGAGATATTATATACTTTTGGGAAATAGTAAACATGGGCACAGAGAAACTCTAAAAGTGTTTCGAATTTTATTACTTGATTTATAAACATCTCAGTGACATTCTTGAACTTACAGCTGTTCAAAATATGCTCTGCTTGTGCTTCATTCATATCTGGAAAAAAAAAAACAAAATGATTGCTCAGCAATAAAACAATTATAATTTAAAATATATACCTACATGACATGAGTATTTCTAGTTTGAAGAAACCAAATTCATCAGAAAATTCTTAATTAAAAGCAATAAAATAAAATCCTACAAAAGGAGAGAGCTAGATATAAATTACTCTTCTAACTATTGTTTGTGGACTCTAGGAAAATACAGGTTCATGATTATAAAATCACATGCATAGAGAAAGATATTGTTTGCATATAATTAATTCATGCCATACCAATTTATTAAAATATAAGTTAAACAGAAGAGGGTTTAGGACCACTTTTACATGTGTACTACCACATGTGTGAATACCCTTTCCTTCTGTCCTCATTCACACAGTAGTGTTATGGTAAAGGCATTCAAAACCATCCTAGATACCTGTCCACAGACACTCCCTGTAAAATCAAACCCCACCAATGTACTAATAAATCCTCAAAACATGTTAGTCATTTTTTTCATAAAGTAATAGAAAAAAGCATTATCAGTGGCTATTCCTCAAAATTATATGAATTGTTTCTTATGCCAGCTAGTATAATAAGCAGTCTAGACCCACATTTCATTAATGAAAGTTAGTGTGAAGTTTTAGTAAGCCTGAGAATTAATGAGTCTTTAATGTAGGTCAGACTCTAAAGAGAAATAGAATTCATCGCAGGGAACTATGCTTAGTAGTTTATTAGAGTAAATCTCTTAGAATTAGATTTTGCCAATAATAACAATCCCCTAATGGCTTCCCTGGCCTTTAGAATAAACACAAACTTCCTACCTGTAGCTGCATGACATGGTCCCCATTCATGTCTTTGTTCTCATGGTGAACTGCTCTTGCTCTTAGTCACAATGCAACAGCTACCTTGGCTTTCTTGTTTTTTGACTGTGCCAAGGTGTTCCTGCCTTTTCTTTATTCTAGCTTCTCCTTCTGCCAGGAATGCTCTTCCACTGGCCTTTTTTATGGTTGGTTCCCCATTGTCATTCAGATCCCAGATTAAAAATTCCCTCCTCAGGTCTTCCATGACAACCAAATCTAAATTAGCTTTTCACTCTCTATTTTTTGCATGGAGTTTCATATTATTGGATATTGTCTTGTTTAACGTATCATTATCTTTCTTACCCCAGTTAGAATGATAGCTTTATCAAGACAGAGAATTTGGTTCCTGGCACAAATAGATTCTCAATAAATACTTGCTAAATGAGTAAATGGGTAGTAATTATAACTAATAATGTATTGAGTTTTATTTACCAGGGATTGTAACAAACATTTCACATTACTTATTATATTATCACAATAATATTATGAGGCAAACTATTAAGAACACGATTTAAATAGTTCTTGAGGTCAAAAGCTTGTACTGCAACCATTTCACTGTAAGATCAGTTATAGTTTAGTGTCACCCTCTGTAGGTTATGGATCAGTGAGAGAGGGAGGTTAGTTCACAGCTAATCACAACTTAGATTAATTACTATCTATTCAGAAACTATTGATAAACTGTTATGATGCTATATCTCATATATGAACATTATCTAACAGATGTATTCTATCTGCAGGATAAAAGAGGTTGAATAATTCTAGTTCTAGAACAAGATTAGACAAAAATAGACTCACGTTTCACATTTCCCTGATTTGTTTCTATAAATACAATGAAATACTCTGAAAATTATCTATCAGATAATAATAAAAGAACTCTGAAATCTTGAAGGAAGAAAGCAGAATGGCTAGAGACTTCAGAATTTGAGGAGAGTTTCCTGGGTTTTCTCTATCTCATATATACTATGCACTGGGGACTGAGAAAGTCCTACAATTTGGAACTACCAGTAAGCATAGAAGGAGAAAAAGATAAGAAACATCTTTTCTCTCTATCCAAATACTAAGAAAGAGAAAGTGAAACAAAGGCATATTAGGAAGCCCAAACCTTCTGCTTCACAACCCAGGGCTGGCAATCCATTCTGTCAGCAGTAGTGACAGCAGAGAACCCTTGATCATTCCAATATCTACTTCCCAACCAGCTGGAAAACTGATATATCCATAGTTATATCAATCTGCATCCACTCAGTGACATAAGTGGTCCCAGGCCCACTGCATAGACCATATCCTGGATCATAATCTTCTGCACATTTAAAAGAAATTAAATTAGACAAAATATGTTCTCTGTTTATAATGGAGTCAAACTAGGAATCCATAACATAAAGATAATGGAAAAATCTCCAAACACTTGGAAATCAAACAATACATTGCTAAATTATCTATAGATTCAAGAGGAAGTCTGAAAGAAAATAGAAATTACATAGAATAGAGTAAATATTAAAATACAATATAGCAAATATTGTGAGATGCAGATAAAGCTTTATAGAGAGGATAACTTGCAGCATTAAATGCTTACATTAGAAAAGAGAAATGATCTCAAATCAATACTTCCAGTTCTTACCTAAAGAAACTAGAAAAAGAAGAGCAAAATAAACTTAAAGTAAGGAAGAAAGACATAATGATGAGAAAAATCAACCAAGGTCAAAATTTTGATCAATAAAATTGAAAACAGAAAAATAACGTAGAAAAGTTAATAAAACAAAAAAACACTGGTTGTATGAAAAAAATCAATGAGACTGATAAACTTCTGAAAAGAATGACAAAAAGGTAAAAGTAGAGAAGACATAAATCACCAATATTAGGAATGAAATGAGGGGTTATCACAAAAGAGTGGAGCCCTTAAAGGTTAGTAAAATAATACTGTGAAGAGCTTTATATTCTTAGAAAAATAAAAAAATTTCTTGGAAAACCAAAAACTACCAAAACTCAGCAAAGATGATGAAGACAACCTGAATAGTCTTACTACTAAAGAAGTCAAAGTTTTAACAACAAAAAACATCTATCAAAAACGGAATTCTCAGGCCGAGATGGCATCACTCAAGAATTTTGCAAAACATAAGAATTAACACCAAATTACACAATCTCTTCCAGAAATTAGAAGAAAAGGAAACATTTCCTAATTCATTTGATGAGACTAGTATTTCCTAATTCATTTGATGACACTAAGACTAAATCAACAAGAAAAGAAAACACGTCTGTCATGAAGTTAGATGCAAAATTCTCAACAAAATTTTAGCCAATTGAATCCAATGATGTATAAAAAATAATAATATACAATGATGAATGGGGCTTATTCCAGATATGAAAGTCTGGTTCAATATTTGAAAATCAATTAATCTACCACCTCAACAGACAAAAACACTTTTATGATGATGTAGACTGACGGAGAAAATGCATTCAACAAAATTTGATACCTAAGTTGGCCAAAATTTAAAAATTGAAAGATAACAAGTATTGGTGAGAATTGGGAGAAATTAATACCCTCATACATTGCTGGTAGGAATGAAATATAGTGCAGCTACCATGGAAAACAGTTTGACAGTTTCTTGACAAGTTAGACATAGAATTACCATATTTTCCAGCATTTTCACTCCTAGATAAATATCCAACAATAGTGAAAACAGGTATTCAAACAAATACTTGTACACTAATATTTATAGTAGTAGTATTTACAATTTCCCAACAATGGAAACAGCACAAATGTTCATCAACTGATGAACAGGTAAACAAAATGTTGTGTTTTCATATAGTGATGTATTATTCAGTCATAAAAAATAATGAAGTACTGATACATCCTACAACATGAAGGAACTTTGAAAATATTATTGTAAGTGAAAGAAGCCGGATACAAAAAGTCAGATATTATCTGATCCCATTTGTATGAAACCTCTAGAATAGATAAATCCATAGAGAGAGAAAGTCAGTGCTTTTTAGAGACTGGGGGAAGGTGGAATGAGGAGTGACCACTTAATGGGTATAGGATTTCCTTTTGAGATGGTACAGATGTCTTGAAACTAGGAAGAGGTAATAGTTGCACAACATAGTGTACTAAATACCACTGAATTGAACACTTTAAAATCATTAAAGTTTATATCATTATGCAAATTTTACTTCAGTAAAAAAATGCAACACTTATTTATGATAAAAACTTAGTTTAAGAATAAAAGGATACTTCCTCAACTTCTTGAAGAGCATTTACAAAAAAAACCTATATCTAACATCATACTTAAAGATGGAAGACTGAATGCTTTCTCTTTATGATTGGAGAGAAGGCAAAAATGTCCACTGTCATCTCTCTTATTTAACATTGTACTACATAAGGTAATAAAAACACATAAATGTTGCCCCAATAAATTTAATAAAATTAAAAAAAACTATTTTCTATATTAAAAGATTTACAGATTGTAATGCTGTCTGATTATTTTTATTGTTTAAAGAATTTGTATGTATTAAATCAAACATTAAAAAGTAAAAAATCACATGAAAGGCATTTATATTTCAGAGAACTAAAATTGTCTCTATTTGTAGACAACATAATTGTCACCATAGAAAACTCCAAGAGATCTACAAAAATAAATTCTTAAAACTAATAAGCAAGTTCAGAAATGTTGTAGGATTCAAGACCAATACAAAATTATCAATTGCATTTCTATGTACTCAAGACAAACAAGTGGAAATAAAAATTTAAGACCACAATATTTATAATTTCTCCAAAAAACCCTCAAATATTCAGTTAAATATAACAAAAATTTATAGGATTCAAATTCTAAGGGTTAGAAAATACTGATACTTGGACGTGGTTCCAGAGTGTGGCGGTTAGCACATCTGCTTTACACTCAGAAGATCCTGGATTCACACCCCAGCGGAGCCATGTTCCGTGGTCTACAGCCATGCCACTCTGAACAAGCTCCACGTCTGATCTCGGAAGCTAATCAGGGTTGGTCTTGGTTAGTACTTGGATGGAAGACCATCTAGGAAGACCAGGTGCTGTAGGCATAAATAATAATAAATTTAAAAAAAAATACCGATACTTAACATAGTAAAGATGTTAATTCTTCTCAAATCAATCTATAGGTTTAGCAAAATTTCTATCGAAATCTTGGCTAGTTTCCTGTAGACACAGACAAGATTATTCTAAAATTTATGTAGAAAGAAACTAAAGTATTCAATACAATTTTGATAAAGACAAATAAAGTGGGAGAAATCATTCTTCCCTATGTAAAGTCTTGCTATATAGCTGCAGTAATAAGAAAGTGATTTGGGGAGGATAGACAAATCAATGAAACAGAATGGAGAACCTACAAATAGATCTACATAAAAATTTCCAATTAATTTTTGACAAAGGAGCAAAAGGAATTCAATTGAGAATGGATAGACTTTTCAATAAAGAGTGCAATTGGATATCCATTAGCAAAAAAAAAAAAAAATAATTAAATTAAAAAGAGGCTTTATCTAAACTTCACAGCTTATACAAAACTTAGCTCAAAATGTATTATAGATCATAATATAAAACTATAAAATATATAGAAATAATCATAAAATATCTGAAAAGTATAAGTAAAATATATACAATTGTGACACATATAAAATAACATAGGAGAAAATTGTTGGGGACCCAAAACTATGGGAAATGTTAGATTTATTACAAAGACCATAATCTATAAGAGGAAAGATGGATTAATTTGATCTTATCAAAATTAAAAACTTTTACCTTGTGAAAGACTGTTTATAGGATGCAAAGAGAAATTTATAGGATGAAATATTTGCAAATTATACATCTGACAAAGGCCTTATATCTATAATAAAGGATTCTCAAACTTCCAACATTTTATTATTATTATTATTATTATTATTATTATTTATTATTATTTATGCCTACAGCACCTGGCCTTCCTAGGTGGTCTCCCATCCAAGTACTAACCAGGCCCAACCCTGCTTAGCTTCTGAGTTCAGACATGGGGCTTCTTCAGGGTGGCATGGCCGAAGATCATGGATTGCAGCTCCACTAGGGCATGAACCCAGGACTTTCTGTACATAAAGCAGATGTGCTAACCGCTACACTATGGAACAACATCCAACGACATTTTTAAAATAAAAAGCAATTACAAAAAACACTCAGCACAGACATTTCATCAAGGAGGATATACAGATGACAAATACATAAAAAGATATTCAATATTATTAGTTATTATAAATATACGAATTAAAGCCACAATGAGATATCTCTACACATCTATCAGAAAGGCTAAGATGAAAAATAGTGAAAATATAAATTCTGTCAATGATGCAAAGAAACTGGGTCACTCCTACATTGCTGATAAAGATGCAAAATGGTACAGCCACTCTGCAAAGTGGTTTGGTAGTTCCTTTCAAATTTAAAAAAAAAAAAAATTGGATTTACCATGTGACACAGCAATTGAGCTCTTGGGCATTTAGAGGAATAGAGGGTTATTTTCACATAGGAACTTGTACAAAAATGTTCCTAGCACCTTCATTGTAGTAGCCAAAATCTTGAAATTAACCAGATGTTCTTCAATGGATGAATGGTTAAATAAACTGTGAAATACTATGACATACTACTCAGTAATGAAAAGGAACACAGTATAGATAGGGCAACACGGATGAACCTCAAGAAAATTATCCTGAATGAAAAAAAATACCAATTTCAAAAGGATATAAAGTGTATGATCCATTTATGTAACATTCATGAAACAAAATAATTATATAAATGGAGAATGGATTAGTGGGGTTGCCAGGGGCTATAGACGGGCACAGGGGATGAGTGCGGCTATAATGAGGTAACACGAGGAGTCATGATAAGTATAGTAGCTGCGTGTAGGTTTTTATCACATGCATGATAAAAAATTAACTTAAACAATTCCAAAGATCTCTTAAAAGAAAGGAAATACTATTTAGATTATCATATAATTCTCATTTCATAATTATTTTCATGTTAAACAAAGGAAGATAATCTTTGGTATTGGTTGTGTGGAAATTTGTTTATTATCAAGTAAATGGGAGACTTAAAAAGGAAAAGAGGTTTCATTTTATGGTGAAATAAAGATGTTTCTCTATAGATGAGAAGATTGTTAAAATGATGAGCTGGAACAAGGGAAGAAAAATGATATTTCTTGCCTCTAAGATAAGATAATGATGTATCTTTCTTCAACAAGCTTTCATTTAGTTTCAGCTTCTGATATAAAATGTTATCAGCTTGCGTTTTCATGGTGTGTGCATTGTTAGAAACAAACTGAAATTTAAGCAGTACATCTGTTTTCAAACCATCATTGCTTGACCTGAAAAACAAAAACACCAGAATAAATGAATGAGGTCTTAGCTGTAGTAATTATTATTTTATACCTTATTATTTAAATGTTAGTTATATCTTCAAGAAAATACAGCATAAATATTTTATACATTTTATTATCATGAAAATTTTCCCCTTTCCTTAATTATATGTGTTAATACCTGAATTACTCTCTGTAAAACTTGATCATATACAGGTAGGGGAGAGTAACTGAGAGTTCTAGAATTTTTTTCTTCTGGAAAAATAAAGTGGAAGCACTTGTTAAATCCATCAACTCTGTGGTTACATGTGTGTATATATATTTTTAAAATTCATAATATATGTTGTTTAAAATTTAAGTAAAATTGAGAAGAGTTTTTAATGATCCTGAGAATCTTTAACTGAGATACAAGTCTTAAAGGACAACCAATAGAATATATTTCATCTCTACCTAAGTTAAGAAACTCTCCCTCTATTATAGGTCCTCTCTCTCCCCCTATTATAGGTCCTCTGTACAGGAGGAAAAACAATTAAATGTAATAATATCAAATTGTTTTTGTTCTTGATATTTCTAAGATATTTAGATCCTGTGTACAAAGTGAATAATTGAAGAATAAATAATACAAAGTTGCTTTTTCATCATACAAATCGATTAGTTGTGATTACCTAAGGTTGACAACATGAGACTTGATATAATGACGATTTAAACTGGATCTTTGAAATATCATGTCTATCTGAGAAAAGGAAAAAAAACAACAATATATAACTTTGTTAATATGAATTTCACACATTTCAATATATCACAAAAATGCTTGTATAAAACCTGCAGTGATTCAAATAACATTTGCTTCTAAATTTGTTTACGGCTATCCACAGAAAACTCACTTGGGCATAATCCTGTAGTTATACAGGTCATTCCTACAATTGGATGTTGATGTTTGAACAATTTGTCACAAAGTCAAAGATGGCTGATACGAAGAGCTGAATTAAACTAAATATTTCAACAGCCAGTATAAAATAATATATGAAGTTAGAGGCACAGAGACTTTCTTTGAAAACTTGATATATATGGACTTTTCACCCATTATCATTCAAACTCAATTATCATCCTCAGGAATGTGATTAAAGAATCAGTATTTTAGACTTTAGGGAAAGTTTTTAGGCTTTATTTTTATCCTATGATAAATGGGTGAGAAGAGAATGTGTATTTATTGGGTACTTCTTTAAAATGAATATAATCAAGAAAAATGCATGAAATGATTACTTAGAATAAAATTAGACTATATATGCTATTTATGTGTCATTTAGACTTCTAATATAGGATAATTTCTCTGGAATATAAATTCCTAGAAGAAATTGTTTCTTACTAAAACCACAGCTTGTAACAGAGTCTGTGGTTTTATAAACCTAGTTATTACTAGTGATTCATCAACCTGGCTTCTCATAAGAAAAGACTGATCATATGCCAAACCTTAAGTAAATCTGAGTCTTGATTCATTATTTCCACAAATCAGAAGAGAAGAGCTGCCAAATTGTGAAATGGGTGTATGTTAAACAGTGCTTTTCATTCATCTGATTTGATTTGTGACATTTTCTCTGGTGAAGTACCATGTCACATCCTATTGGATAGGTTGGTAGCATAAGTTTATTGAGAAATCAATAGTTATTTAAAAACGAATGACCATGTGTTTTCCTTCTACCTGAATATGAAGAAAAATTTGTCTTTTCATGAAATAGGTTTTTTACACACATGCACATTTATATGACAAAACTAATACATATTCATCGTAAAAAGTTATAAAAAGCAAGCAATACAGCAAACTATAATAAAAAACATTGAAATAATTTCAAAATCACTGTATAGAGAACCTGCTATTTATACTTTTTAGTATATGTACTTCTAGATTTTTTACCTATATTTATATTATACGTAATATTTATATTTTATATAATTACTATGTTTTCTGCCTTTCTCCTTCCATTCTCTTTTCAATTTCATTATTTTTTGTTTTTTCTCTTTAAATCACAGCTTTGTGAACCATGTATTGCTCATGGCAATTGAGCATATAAATAGTCTAAATTATCAAACTCCACAAGAAGTCTTTAAATTTTATTTTAGGTATTGGTTTTAATCATGTCTGCTAGAAAAATGATTGCTAGAACTGTAACTTACAGTCTAAATCGGTGGTCAGCAAATTATAGCCTTTAGGAGAACTCTAGTCAGCCATTTGTTTTTGTGTGCTCATCATCTAAGAATGTCCTTCACGTTATCTTCATAGAAGAAAAAATTCAAAAGAAGAATAATGTTTTGTGACATCTAAAAATCTTATAAAATTTAACTTTAAGTGTCCATAATACAGTTTTCTTGGGCCATAGCCACACTTATTTGTTGACATATCGCCCATGGCTGCAGTTGCACTATAATGACAGTTTTGCGTAATTGTAGAGGAACTATACGGCCTGCAAAGCTGAAAATATTTACTATCTGGTATTTTACAGAAAAAAAATTTGCCAAATCCTCGTCTAAATTACTGTACTTCTTTATGTTGTCGTCATTTATGCTCTAGAGCAGGGATCTCCAAAGTGGACCTGAGTCTCTCTCCTTGTTTGTACAGTTAACTATACAAATCCTATATGGCAGGGATCTCCAACCCCCTGGATGTGGACTGGTACCGGTCTGTGGCCTGTCAGGAACCAGGTCACATAGCAGGGGGTGAGCTGCGGGTGAGCTAACAAAGTTTCATCTATATTTGCAGCCGCTCTCCATTGCTAACACCACTGTCTCAGCTCCACCTCAGATCATCAGTCTTTAGATTCTCATAGGACCACCGGTCCCTGGTACCAAAAAGGTTGGGGACCGCTGTCTAGAGGACAGGGCCAATGCTAGTAAATTGGCCATTTATTTACTAGTCATCTCCTCGATGAGTATTTTTATGGTCCTGCCATGTGGCAGACACTGTGACAGGACCAGGATTTTAAGAATAAGTAGACTTAGCCCCTCAAAAATCTACAGGAACATAGACATATAAAATAATGATGTTGCAGGATGGTAAGTGCTCTAGCAGAAGTGTATGAAAAGTTCTGTGAGATTACAGAAAACAGATGCTAACATTTATTTAGATATTACTTTTTGTACATTTTATTCACAACATTAACTGATTCTCAGAATAACTCAGACAGGGGGGGTGAGATTATCCCTATTTTGTAGTTGAAACCTTGAGGGGTTAGTACATTTTGCAAAGTCGATCAGCTGACAAAGAGTAAAATTGAGATATGAATTTAGATGTCCTAACTTCAAAACTTAAACTGTTTCTAATTTAATATATCACTTCCTGTAACAAAATATTCTATAACTTGTCCTGATTTTTTTTCCTAATCAAAATTTTTTAGTATGTATTTTTGAAAAGACAAGCCAACCTCACTTATTTGCATCTTTCAATTCATTTCATCAGCTTCTGCTTTTATTTGGAAAATAGCTAATGAAATATTTCTGAACCTGGCAAGAATAATCTGTCATCTTTGATCATGCTAAGCTTAGTAGAAGCTGTACAACTGCAATCTTCAGTGGTAGTCTGTATGTTTCTATGGTATATTTTCAGGAATAAATGTTTAGTAGAGTTGCCTAGTGAGAAATGTATCAGGGTTATACACACAGTAGGTGCTTAATAAATGATTTCTGGTAATGTTTGTGCCTGAATGATTAAATCATGTTTCCAGCTATCCTCTCTCCCTCCTTCCCTCCCTCTCTCCCTCTCTCTCTCTCTTTCTCCCCGACCCTGCCTCTCCCCCACCTCCCTCCCTCCATATATGTTTGTATTCAAACTATTTATTTTTTTGTTTGGCTTACGTTGTTCCGTCTCTGGTGCAATTATCCTTTGTCCAACGTATTTTCCCATTTTTCCTGAGATAATATTGGTTAGAGTTGCCAGGATTAGCAAATAAAAATACAGTTAATGTTTAATTTCAGATAAACAATATATGATTTTTTTTAGTATAAGCATGTTTAAAATATTGAATAAGTATATTTTCTGGAGGATCTGAAATTAAAATTTAACTGAGGATTCTGTATTTTATCTGACAAAGCTCACATAGATGCAATTTGGCGTGTTCTCAACTCTCTTCCTACTTTTTTTGAACCTTCCTCCTAATAGTATTGTCAGGGTAGAAATGCTGCCAGTAAAGTTTAGACTTACTTCATTTTTGATTTTTTGTTCCAGGTCAGTCCTAAATTTTGAGCGTTCTACTGAAAAATCAGGATTATATTCAATACTGGGGATCCGAAAGGAGATTTGGTAATAGTGAAATTTCCGATCTGGAAGGGATAACAAAAATGGTTGGTTTCTTCTTAGTTCATATAAGTTGTATAAATATCAGAAATAGAGGGGATGACATGTAAAAAAGTTCTATAAGTGATGAACTCCTGAGAATTAAACATTCAGTAGCTATTGCCAGTACTGCCTTCTTCCTTTTTTAAGATCACACATTCGCATAGTCATGTGCTAGTCACTTGTGTCCTGACACAATAAGTTGACTTTGAAGTTAGAATTGCTCCTAAAGTAATTTTTTATTTTCAGTACATTAAGTATTGTTAAACCATAAAATAACATAAGATATAAATCTATTGCATTGCTCAAGAGGTACTATTGTGTGCACCAAGTCAAATTATAAATGCCAGAAGCAAATTTATGCATAAAGGATTATTATTTCCCTGATAAAGATAAATTTATGCAAATTAATATTTCATCATGCAAAATATGTGTACACTTATACAAATTGTTGCAAATGAAAGTTGAATTCTAAAATATTAGAAAATATTAAGGTTGAGTGTATATTCAAATTTTTATAATAATACAATGAGATTGATTCTTACCAAATGCCAAAAAATAAACAAGGAGACCGATGATTATTGCTAGAACCAGCACAACAACTGTGATAATAAGGGCAATCATCCATGGTTTCAATGAACTTGTTCTTCTACCGAGTATTGATGGCCTTTTGAGAGAGAGTTGTATATTAAAAACAAACAGAAATTAAACATTAGAATCTCGGCTTCACATGGTTTTGATACAGAATGTTTTTTCTGGAATTCATGGTTAGCTCATATTGCATTTGGTAACATTTGAATATATTTTTCTATAAAAAATTGGAAAAATACTGTCAATTGACATTTGACTTTATATTTTGATTTTAAAAAGTCAGAATTATACTACAACTGATGACTATTTCTTATATTTCTTAGTCTATTATACTAGATGTTCTAAAATGTTTTTTCTTTGTAAATGAATTAATACCATATATTTGGTTCATATGTTTCAAATCACAGCCTCAAAGAGTGAGGGCATCTGGGTCATTGTTGTCATTCTAGCATGAACAGATAGAGGCTCAGAGTGATTGCTAAAATTTCAAGTTGTATACTGTGGGAGCTAGAACCAGGACTTGGGCTATTAGGGCTCTTTTCACACATCTATACTTAAATCCATAATCCCCATTTATAAGACAAGTATCTGTAATACATATGAAGTATATTTAAAATAGGACAGGTTGACTAAAAGAAAACAGAACAGAATGATAAGGAAGAAGTAATAAGTAATAAGCAAACCAAGAAAAGATCATTAATATAATAAACAAAGAAATAAGTGTGATAGCTCAGGACTTTGGACGCAGGAACTCGGTGGCGTGAAAACCACTGGTGGTATATGATGAATATCTATTTCATAGGATTATAAGATTTCAAACCTGTGATTTTTATAGATGACATTGCATAGGATAAGAGCATATTTATTTGAGTAAACAATGAATCAATTTAAAGAAAAATATTAAGACAATATTAATAGCATGCAGATATGGAAAAAAGTATAAAAGTGGTATTCAAAGGACTGACATTTGGAAAACTTTTGTGGAATTAGGGAAATGTGATAAAGCCTTGTCCCCATCCCAGTGTATTGGGCCCACAGTCTCAAAACCAAACCTGAGTAGAGGCAGGCTAAAGTGAGACAAACATGGGTTGTCTAGGAATACCTAATCCACGAGAGAACTGGACAGAAATATGATTCTGAAAGTTAAAGGGTACTGATTCTTATTCTGTTAAAATTATACATGTGAAAAAGAGAAGAAATTATATTCCCTGGGATTGGTAGCAGGTGGTGTTAAAGTGGAAAGTAAGCCCTAGATAAATAATTGAAAATATAACTGAGGTGTGCCTTTTGGCATCAATGATTTGGAAAGGGTAATAATGCTCCTATATCTTTGTATCTTGTCAAAGAATCTAGAGGCAGTTTCCCCACACCAGAATCTACAATCTGAGCTCTGATAACTACCTCAAGTAGTACTAATTCTGAGTTCTATTGTGTTTCTGGAAGGATCTAAAGTTACTCTGGACTACTACTCTTTGGTTGGTGTCAAGACAAAAGTATCTACAACAATCTGCAAATATGTAAAGTATCTTTAAAACAGCTAGGATCCACTGGGGCACAGGGAAGAGCCAATGAACATATTCATCACCTTATTAATGAAGATCACCGGCAATTGTGAACTCATTCAGTTGACATTTACCGAGTTTCTTCTGTGTGCCAAACACTTTCTGCTCAAGATTCAAAAAAATGAATAAAATAGTCTCCCATCTTCTAGGATACATAATCTAGAGACGTATTAAGTAACTACTATAATACAAGTGACAAATGTCATAATGGAATTATACCCAATATACTATGAGATATAAGTGGGTACAAATGGTTTTGCCTTAGAAAAGTTGGCCTTTGAACTGGGGCTTGAAGGCTGGAGGAGGAATTAGCAAGGATGACATGCACCATGGGCAGAGGAAACAGCATAAACAAAGGCAAAGAGATGTGAGTCAAGGATAAGGATTTCTCAAGGACATACTTGAAAAAGTAGAGTTTATGAATGAGGATAGAGGTGAATTTAATGTGTGTATTTATTTGTTAACAGTAGATATTTATTGAGCATTACCATGTACAAAACACAGGGAAATACAAAAAAAAATATCTTTCTCATAAGGAATTTAGCCTTATAGAGAAGGAGCACAATGTACACAAATTGCTACCAGAGTTGCAGAGAATTTCTAAGAGAATTTTAGAGAAAGACTAATGATTTCTCTTTAGAGGAAGTAATGGCTGAAAAATAATGATAATTTTTTTAAAGCTTGAAAATGCTGGACTCATCTTCTCACTAACTTCTCTCTGAATTAGATATGGAGAACCATTCCTAAAGAGGGAGCTTGTTTTGCAACAAAATTTTCATCTTCAAAAGGAACGGTTTCCCACTGAACTGTTCAACTTCTAACATCAGAAACATCATTATGACTGAATTACAGTCTTATGTATGTGCAAACCAAAATTAACTTTTAGATTGTAATAAGAATAAAAAGCATTTATTTGAGCAAAAGGAGCTGTAGCCCAGAAGACACAGATTCAGGTAGCAACCTAAATTGTGTTTTCCCAAGACAAAGGAGAGGCTGCCTTTTAGAGCAAAAGTTCCTGCCCAAGTTCCCAAGTAGGTCAATTTATGTAAATGAGGCATCCAAATTGTAAAGTTCTGACTGGATGAGGCAGGTCTCAATTCGATGGCAGAAAGACAGAAACTAGGATTTCCCTGAAGGGGTTGACTCAGATGGAGTAAACGAGTGGGGCATAGTGCTGGAAGCTGAGATTTTAGTATGTTTCTTCCTGGTATACTGGATACGTAAGAAGTCCCTGTCAGCAAATGGCCACTAGGCTCTTATTATTCATAAAATTTGAGCCCTTGGTTGGCCATGGCGGGGGTCCATCTCAGCAGATAAATTCCTTCATAGGGTTCACATCAAATGAATCTTTCTCAGGGTGAACATATGGATCACGAGTGAAAATTTGTTTATTTCCTTAACCAGGAAGTCATACCTTGTAGTATTTATTCTTAGGTGGGTTATATAAAAGTAAGATTTTCTTTCTAATTTTTTAGTACTAAGATAATTTTAATTTAAACATTGAATAATTTCAATGACTAATTTCAGTGGTTATTCTACATTGGTGGACTTTCATAGATATTTGGTAAATATTTGTCTACTAAATGAAGAATGTGTCATAAGGCAGTAGGCAGCCCTAAATTAAAGATCAATTACTTCAAACATGGCAAGGGGAGGCATGAGATTAAGAAGTTACCTGGAATTAAGATATAATTACAAATTTTGTACTCAAAATTTGCTAAAGGACAATTCTCTCCCTCTTTTTCTTTCTTGGCTTCTCCCTCCTCCTAATCCTTTCAACTGAAAGCATTTAATTTTGGTCAGACAATCCCAGAAAAATGACTAAGCAGGTTCATTGTAGTGCCAGAAAACCCAGCTTTAGAGAACCCTTTGACATTCAAACAAAAGAAAAGTACAAGTGACCTCACCTTTGAGGTATTCATGTCAGAGCAAAGATGAGCAGAGACGAAAGCTACCCATTCAGCAGGTCAATCCAGAAAACCTTTCACAGAGTCAAAGCATTTTGAAAAGAGTTCTCCTTTTACTCCCTTCCCTATCTTTGTTTAAATTTCGAGTTGAGTCTGCACCCATGGCCTAATGAATAAGGCACTAGCCTCCTAAATTCTGAGTTGCTCATTATCCACACTGTCTCATGTGGAGGTACTTGAACAAAACCTCAACAGAATAATATGAACTCTTCTTGCTCTTTTCAATGTCAGACATTTTATTTCAATGTTATGATGTTTTACCAAGGCCCATCTTCAGTTCCTTTCCCCTTAGATAGCTCTCCTGATGTCTGTTATTTTTCCTATAGCTTTTTAAATTGCTTTATATAACCAAATGTTGTCACGCAGTGATTGAAAGATGAGGAATAAAAAAATTTCTTTCTGTCACAGCAGCAGCCATATGATTTGAAGTGCTCGGGGTCTTCGAAAGAGGATATTTAGTAAAGTGATTAAGGGCGTGGGTTCTGCTGCCAGCCAATCTGAGTTCCTACTCCAGCTCCCCCACTATAGGACCTTGTCAGTCATTCATCTTCTTTGTGTCCCAACTTTCTTATCTATAAAATGAGAGTAATATCCATTTTGTGTGTGTTGTACATTCTTGTACAGACTAAATGAGTTAATATATGTAAGAGCACTTAGAACAATAACTAAAACATGGTAAGGACTTAGGAATTTGAGTTATTTTAGTATTTTTATTTTGCAAAGCAACAGAGAAAGCATACCACAGAATACATAAATGGAGTGGAATGAGCTGATGGGAAGTGCCTGCTGCATGGTAGATATACTGCTCTTGAAAGAAAGAGATGGGGACTTATGCCCAGGACCTTGGAACCTGAGTGGCAACACTGGGCACAAACTACACACAGATTGGGAAGCAGTTTAGGAGCTTAGCAAAATCCTGATAATCTCCAAAGAGAGAGTTCCAGTAAATTAAAAGATTCCAAGCTTAGGGAATAGGGGACAATCAGAGCCTTCAAGAATAATCACAGGGTTCAAGAGAAGGCGTCAGATGGTGAGCACATTTTGGAGCATCCATGGGGAAAAGATTACCGGATAACAATAATGTATGGGACAATTTAAGACAAGGCAAGAGTGGTGAATCACATAGCTAGGGTTTTAATCCTTTGCCTAGGGAAAACAGAACTCTGAAAGAAAGTTTTTGTTGTTAAAACATCAAGAGGTGGTGGTGGTATTATTCATAATAACAGTGGCTTAGCAATGCTGACCAGATATGATGAGACTTTCGTAAAATCCGTGATGTGAGTAGGAATACTCAAAGTTATACAAAAGATTAAATGAACATTTGTGCTTCTTTTTATATTCTGAGAAGCTATGTATCTTGTTTCTATAATGCTATGTTATGCAAATAAGAAAGACATAATGTTTCATAAATAAAAAGTTAACTGATGTCATTAGTAAAACGATTAAAATAACTGGTGCTTTAGTTATTAAGAGTTCAAAAGGAAACAATCAAGGTCAGAGAATGCTATTCTTCAAATGTCTGCTCATTAATGCAAATTTACATGGTG